AAAAAAAAAATTGTTTTTTTTTTGTTTCTGGGGAGGAAAAAGAGCGTTGGGGGGGGGGGTCACACTTTGAAGTTTCATACAAAACCCCTAGCACTTTTCACAACTTACTTAGAATTAAAATAATCCGGCTGGTTGAAATGGAGATCTTTAATTAGTTCAATATGAATGGACATCTTGAGACAGTTAGAATGAAGCCTTGAAACCACTTAGTGATGGTTTTTATGAGTTAAAGGGTTTTTCAAGTTAGCTGTGTCTGTTTAGACTCAACTTGGTTTAAAAAAAAACGGAATCACAGTGGTTTGGTCAGCCAGCTGATTTTGTACAAGGATAGTAACAACTGAAACATCAGCTGCTTGAAAGCTGCCTTGATTATTTGGGCTATGGAGTATCAAATCAAATCAAATCTTTATTTTGGTCACTGACCAGCACAGCATTACATAATCAGCCCAACAATTTGATCAGAACAAAGTAGTCAAAATCAGAAGCCCTGGGTTTGACTATGAGTTCCGTAAGCTAACAGAATTAGACGAAATGTTTATTTCTGCTAATACTCTAACTCTTAAAACTAAAATAACTAGTATTACTAGTATTCATACTATAGGTCTGTAATTCCCATTAAATCTATATTTCTGGCTATAAATAAATGGTTAGATCTAAGATACCTAAGCTGAGAAGAAAGGCTTAAATCTAAACGTTCTGTATTTATGAAGCTGGAGGCACAATTGCTTCTCAACTGACTTGATTTGATTTCGGCTACGCATCAAGACTTGTGCGATGCAGTAATTCATCCTCATCCTGATAAATTGGGCCCCGTCTTCTGTGCAACTGGCTCTCTATGGCGCAACTGTTCCACATCTAGGATTCTCCAGGCATTGTGGCGTACAAACCAAAGCAAACTAGGAAATGCAACTCACCCTAACTAAAGGCATTCAGAATAAGAAAGGCTGACCTAGAACATCAGGTCTTTTCTTCTGAGCATTTATTCCTCAGATGAATAATAATCTTTTAGTTCTCTTTGTTAATTAGATTTTAAAATACAGTTGAGGGAAAGGGAGAAAGGAAGAATTATCTGCCATTAAAGCAAAGTTAATTCACAAAATAATTCACACCCGGTCCCCAATGTTTGTCCCACTAGATTTGGCAAATGAGCATGCTCCAAGTACCATTGGTGAAGCAGTATCACCTGGTGAGCCCCAGGAAGTGTGCCTTCTCTGTCATGGCACCTGTCTTGTGGAATATCCATCCCCCTGAGATATACACAGTCCCTATCCTGTTGGCCTTCTGGAAGACTGAGAAGTCCTGGGTCTTCCCTCAGGCACTGGGGCCAGGATGTTGATGGTGCTCTGGTGTGGATGTGGTTTGTTTGATGAGCTAATGTGGTTTTGGGGGGCCTCCTGGGATATATGGGTGGCTATATAAATGTGTTAAATAAATAAAGTGCAAAAATGTACTAGTAGAGAAAAAAATACCCATCCAGCACTTGCGATCATGTGCATATCTCTTTCACACTGACTGATGATTAAACACTGTTAGCACAAATATTGCCAGTAATCAGTTGTATAAAACCAAAATCATATGTATACAGGTAGTCCTCAACTTACGACCATAATAGGGACTGTAAAAATTCATCGTTAAGCGGTGCAGTCATTAAGTGAGGCATCACATGGCTGCACCCAATTTTACGACCTTTTTTGCCGTGCTTGTTAAGCAAGACATCACATGACCACAACTTGCAACCTTCCCTGCCAGCTTCCCCATTGACTTTGGGGGGGAAGCCAACTGGGAAGGTTGCAAATGGTGATCATGTGACTGCAGGACACTGCAACTGTCGTAAATGCACGACAGTTGCCAAGTGCCTGATTTGCAATCAGGTAACTGTGGGGATGCTGTGACAGTCGTAACTTCAAGGACCAGTCATATGTCACTTTTTTCAGTGCTGTTGTAACTCTGAAAGGTTGCTAAATGAATGTTTGTAAGTCAAGGACTACCTGTATTGGAAAAGAAATAAATAAGAAATCAGGGATTGTTAGCAGTTAGCCTTCAAACCCCTGTAATTTCCCTTATTTCTACTATTTCATTTCTAAACCGGATCACTTAGGATATTCGTTTTTCGATGTTTATAATCCCCTGCATATAGGAGGAGAGCCCTAACAGAGAATAACCTGACATTTCATTTTATTTTAAGAAGGGAACATACACCTTTTCCTATACTAATTTAGTGACTGGACACTTAGCAGTAAATCCACACAGTCTTAGGGCGTGCTGCTTACAATGTGAAACATGCAGAATCTTTCAGCATAAATGGGAAATTTAATACAAACAAAAGTTTCTCTTCATGTTCAGTTTCAAGATTGGTATTTACTCTTACATTCTCCAAATACACTTCAGGAATCCCTCATAACTAACACCTACCATGTTGGTATCATTTTAATGCTCATCTGCTGCCTTTGTTTTCTTCTAATTAAATGGGAGGATCTATTCCTTAACAACTGCAAGTGAAACAGACAATACGCACATCAGACCCATCCTTGCTCTTCTGCTTAGACTGCTCCATCCGTGAAGAAGGAGGACGCTTTGCACTTCCAAGATTTGCTTATCGAATGAAAAGTCCTGAACGTTTGTTACAGATAGGTCACTGAACCCATATGTAAGTATCTTCTATAATCTCTAATTTACTTTATTTATAAGATTTACATGGCCGTAAAATACAACTCTGGGCAGCTCGCAACAATACTGGGCAAGTTAATAAAGAAACAGTGATGAAGCAATTCTTTAATGAGACAAGTCGCTAAAGCTGAATTGCCAGAACTGAAGATATCCTTTCTAATGCCAATCATTACGAACTTTCTTCCTAGATAGAAAAGCAGAACAGAATTGTCCTTGATAAATAAATAGCCGGATTTACTTGCTGAAGCTCAGAAAACAAAGACCGTGAGAACTCAGCCAACTGACTAAATTCTGAACTACCCAAGTCCAATCTTGCCTGTCTAGACATCCAATGCTAAATGCTGATTTTTTTTATTAATAGATGATGCCCATCTTTTAACATTATAATATGTTACAAAAACAGCCTCAAACCCAGTCTGAGCTATTCAGGAACATAGATAAATATCCCTCAATCTGAAACAAAATGGTTAGATTTGATGCTTTCTCTTATTAATATTCAGGTGAACACATCTAACGCAGCAATGACTTGGCATCTGGCATCCTGTGCCATTTCATAGTGTTTCTAAACAGGATTGGAACACAGATAGTTGTTCAAAAATGCAGTTATCCAACTAGCATTGCCTATGGTCAAGACAGTTATTTTTTTTCATCATTATACATTATAATTCTGCAGTACTCCTAGTGTTATATTCCCATTCATTTAAAGAGAGACAACACACAACACGTCTGTTAAAACTCAAGCACCACCGTTGGCTACGCACTGAAACAGGAAGCGTAACCCAATCAGCTCAGATTTCTAGCCTTTCTTAACGCAAAAGGATTTAAAAATTCAGTTTGCTGAAACATCTGTTAGGCTCTTTCAGCCTTAACACATGATACTTTCCTTGCTCTCCTATTTGCCAACGCCAACATTTTATTCTAAGGCAGGACTGTGGCAAACATACAACTCCTAAATTTAGACATCAATGAGGTGCTGTAGAATTAATCATTCATACAGTGTATTTCAAGCTTATTTTTTTCATTTTTCAAAAAGAGGTCAACATTTCTTCTCAGCGCAGCCCATTTTTACTGATTTTTTTCCCTTAAGCATGTTGCATTCTGTAGCTCTCATTTCTCACAGATTTGGTCCTCAGCAGGGACTTATATTCAGACATATACATATGACACGTGGGTTCAAAAGTACATGACCCTGAAAACGCACATGGGTTTATCAAAGACCAACACAAACAGTCAAGGGACACACCCTTTTTTGACCACAAGCACCACAATCATATAAATGGTCAAGACCAAAAAACTAAAAAGTGGTCAAAATGCAATAGGTATAAGTGAATTTTTAAAAAGCCAGTCTGATTTCAATCAATCAATCAATCAATCATCAAGTATAAAATATCATGCTCTTACCAATGACTTGGTGAAAGGTCGAGCCAGAGTAAACAGGAGGGTGTACACCCACCAGTTGTGATGAATGGATGAGTAGATCACATTTCCAGGATGCAACGCATTTGACGTAACTCCATGGGGGGAAAGGCGACGATTCAGCTCATTCGATAGAAGAATACTGCAAAGCTTAGATCGATTATAGGCCAGCATAGCCCAATATTCTTTCTTCGATGGCGAAAGCAAGTTGAGGTCAAGTTTTCCTGAGTTGTTTTTAATATATGGGAACCTTCAAAGCCAACCCAAACAAAAAAGTGTTAGAATGTTGAAATCAAAATGTCTGCTCTTGGTTAAAATAGATTTGCTATGCACGAAGAGGGTAATACTGCAGTCCTATTCCTGCTCAAAGCATGAATGCTTTAATTAATTTAATTAATTAATTACATTAATGCATTAATGCTTGAGTGACTACTCCAAAATCTATCTCCAGTGAAATACACTGCTGTGCAACCATAGACTTTGCCACTGAAGCAAAGCCACGGCGCATGCAAATACATTGTGCTGATGTGCAAGCCTTCCAAAGGAGGTGGCTGCTTTAAAAATTTAAGAAAGGGTGCTTTCATTCATGCCAAGGTGTTCTACAAAACACTTTGACTGTGTACAGCCCCAATATCCTCTTCTCTGAAAAAAACATCAGTTAATACATCCATTCCTACAAATGAAGCTTCCAAACACACACGTCAGGGCCACATGTGTTTCTGGCTAGATACTTACAGAGATCCTCAGGAAGAGAAGCTGATTAAAAGCACGCTTCCACCATTCATAAAGTTACTTTCTGATCTGCATAAAGCTGTTACTGACAGAAACAATTCCTGCTAAAGCATTGGTGAGCCAAATATCAGCAAAATAAGCCAACAAGTAGCCTTTCTATTTCATTCACTCACTCACACGCCCCTCCAAGTACGACTGGGAATGGGGATCCATCTTCTCCAATGACCCCCCTGTGCGCCCTCCCCCCCCCCAAGATAACAGATACATCAGGAATGTCTGGGCCCTATCTTGCTTATTTTATTTTTTTCAGCAACCAAAGCTAAAAGAAATAAGGCACAATAATCATGACATCACCGAAGGAATCAGGACAGCTATTTGATCTGGAGAGGGGGGTGGGTTGCCCTTCCCAATTGGGGTGTGTTGACTATGTTTAAAAAAGGAGCAACAGTTATGTTCAATAGTTTATCAGAGGTTTAACACATTTTCTTTAGGTCATTATCAGTAGGACTTGAACAACCATGTTTCAGTCTTTGCAAATCAAAAACCTGCTTTCAACTTCCTTAAAATGGAATGTACATAACCTAAGGTATATAAAATTAAAATCTTGTGTAGCCAGATCTGTTTACATGTTGTCTGACTGACTACATATTCTCTTTCTAGCCACCTTTCCTTTGTACCTGATGTCTACCTCTCCCATGAATGTTAAGTTGTCTCCTTAAGACACATCTGGTTATCCTACTGTTTCATTATTGCCTTTCCTTTTTACGTTCATTTATTTCCTCTCTAATGGTTTTTAAAATCTGATTTGTATCCATTTTAAACAAACAGATCTGAAAGAATACACAGAACAGAAATGCTGAAATCAGTATGAGACAGAAATAACTTTGTGCAATTCATCATTGACAGATCAGAGTGTGGAGTAGCCTGAATTCATGAAAGTTTACTCCCACTTGGAAATGAATAGGTGGTCTTCTCTGCAGCAAAATCCATATATACCCAGTTTGCTGCTGCTTTTTATTTAATATAGTTGATGCTTTGAATCGCTGCATGATCAGAATTAAGGGCCTGTTAAATGATCTAAACAATATAATGTCAATAATTCTAATTAATTTTTAATTTAATTTAAATTTTAATTAACATTGTATAAATATCATTGTATCAAAACCATACAATGTATCAAGATCTGCAACAGTGTAATAAAAAGGAAAAAGAAAAAGAAAAAGAAAAAAACACAAAAAAGAGGCAAGTTCTGGCCAGTAGGTCTTGACTGCAAGCTCACAGAATTGTAAATCAAGTTGCTGAAATGGGTCAGGCTGATCTCCCTGACTTGCCTATTTTGATTCTCCATAAAGGTAATGGAATTCTAAAAAATAAAAAATTAAGGGCTTATTAAAAATTAAATGAGTACCAGTAAATCAAGATTCAATCCAAGGCAGGCAGAAGTACTGATTTTGAGAAAGTTTCTGAATCTGTAAATATCTTGGCATAGCATATAGCAACAAATATATACCCAATTTGCAGAAATAGTTTTAGGATGTGGTACATGTTATACACCCTTGACTGTGTTGATGGGGAGATTTAATAATATCTCCTATCAAGAGCACTTGTGCATAAGTTCAGACCCCAGAGTTGAAACAAATGTACAAGGAATCCTGAAAGACCTTACCTATCATTCTTGGACGACCAAGCTAATCTTGCTTCTAATTATAAATTATCTGGATTGATCCCAGCAGGCAGTTGGGTGCTTCCTAGTAAATAACAAGGATTGTGAACTTTCTGGAAAAATGACCAAATTCTTTGCTGTAGCAATCGCAATTAAAACCGGATGGATGGATGGATGGATGGATGGATGGATGGATGGATGGATGGATTTATTTAGTCAGTCAGTCAGTCAGTCAGTCAGTCAGTCAGTCAGTCAATTTATCTCGCCATATAGCCACCCATCTCACCACTGTGACTCAGGTCAGCAAACGCAGGATTAAAATCAACAGAACAAAAATAATAATAAACAATAGTGTCAGAATAATATTGCAGCTGCACTCAGAGGCCATCAAACTCAAACTAGATAACCGCAGTGGATCCAAACATAGTCCAGATATGCTTCATTTCTGCTGCAAACTAAACTTTTATACTGAATGGTTTGAATTTTAGCCTTGTTTTGGGATCTATGACTGTACAGAAATTAATAATGTGTTTCTATTTCTTTTTTTTATAAAACAATTAAAGATAGGACATTGGAAACAGAACAGGGTGAACTTCAGTCTCTTCCTTCCAAAATACCATTTCCACCAAGGGAACTACATTTTCTTCTACTCCTTAGAAAAAAATTGTATGCATGCAAGTGTGTGTGTGTGTGTACATATGTATGGAACAAAGCAGTAAATAACTGCAATTAGCAAGCACTCTAATTGGGGCAAGAGATTTATGTCCTCCTCCTTCCCCCAGCCCCAAGCTGAGTAACAGGACAACTTCAATCATTGATCTTGCCTTCTTTCTGCTTTCCAGTGTGCCAGTCTTGCACACACCGGAGTCTAAGTGCTCAAATAACTACAGATGAGACTTGCTGCTTCTTAGCATTGACTTAGATTAAAAATTGATGGTTTAAAAAGGGGCAGTAACACAGGTGATACACCATCAATAGTTTTAAAGGTATAAAGAGAAATGTGAACAAAGCTAAAACGAGCTGTGGCAGAGCCTAATGTTTTTAAGTATACCCCTGGTATGACTAAGCACAAATCAAAGTAAGTAGTTGATATTTTTTAATTGGGTCTGACAGTCACTAAACACCAGCTGTTTGTTGATGTTCTTCTAGCAAGGTGGCAAACGGTGGAAATATTCTATAGGCAGTAGAGGGATTTTTCTGTATAGCCACCAGCCTACATATATACATTTGATTTGCACAGGAAGAGGAAATAAATGAAAAATATTTAACGGAAGGATGTAATTATGATTTTTTTTTGGGGGGGGGGGAAGGAATAAACAAACAAACTAGTGTAGAAGACTCAAACAGTCTTCTACAGAGTCCACGCATAAGGCACAACATGCTATGCATGCAAAGCATGATTGCAACAGACAATCATGCTTTGGAGTGCTGCAAGGGTTCCTATGACGTTAATGGGGCTCTCACAATTCATGCTTTATTTTCAACAGCATCCCAACTTCCTTAGAGATTACATCTCGATATGTACACATGCGTGTCCCCTTGTTTGCAACTGTCAAGGCAATTGCACTGGTATGTTGATTTTAGACAGGTATCAAATCAAATCTTTAGTACAGTCAAGGACCAGCATAAGGACAGGTTGTCCTAATCATCTGCAAGCATCATCTCTAGGCGATTGCATTTAATAGTCTAAGGCAAAAAGAAAAAACAAGGTAGTCCCCTTGCTCATTCCATTGTGTTTCTTAAATGAAAACAAAGGGACAATATTGTCCACTCCAGCTGAAAGCAGCAGCTAGATTAAAGAATAAGGGTGGTTATACAGCAACCAGAATTCTTTTTCCACAGTTTGTTATTGACACCCATGGGGACTGTCTGACTCTTTTTAAAGGTAGAGCCAGCTGTTTGGAGCCCTGACCACCCTAGGTGGTCCTACTTAGAAACATCAACTCCTGACATAGATTTCGATGCCAAGCATCAGAGAAATCATATTATTTAATCTAAGAAAAAGGTCTAATGAAGTGTGGGGGGGGGGAATAATCCCTTTCAAACATACTCATAACACATCATGAGAGTAAGGCAGAATCAGACAAGCTGTCCCCATCCTGCCTGCTGCACAGAACTCCTCTGCTGGATCTTTGTTGGGCTTTCAAAAATGGCCCTAGAAACTTCTTCCAGTTCTCAATTGGATGAACAGGCAAAGTCTCCCCTGTCTCTTCTTGCATTAACCCAACATCTGAAAAAATTGATTCTGAAAACAGAGCTGGAGAGAGGTTGTGGCCTTTCAGCTATTCCAATTCCCATCAGTCTCACCCAGCATAGCCAATGCTTAGGGATGAATGAAGCTGAAGTCCAACAATAAGTATAAAGAACGTAGGGTTGGATTGAGTTGAGTGGCCCTTTAAATTAGATTTACAAACAAACAAACTAAGAAATATTCCTACTCATTCTGATATAATACTCTACAGAGAACACCTTAGGAGAATTGGAATTACTCTGCATAGCAGAGAAAAACCAAGAGAAATGATTGACACTGGTTTTGTTATTTTCAAATAGATTGCAAATGTACGTGATAAGACGTAACAGCTAGCAAACTCATCCTGCTAATTTCTCACGGATACAGTAAAACTAGCAACCATTTTCAATGATCATATTTAAACATCTAATTTAATGCATGACAAAGCCCCGAGAAATGGAAAAGTAATTAGTTGTTAGATCTGGAGACACACCATTTACTTATTGGAGAATAAATTTTCCAGAAACCTTGGCTGATCTTGTGTAAGTAAGCAGAGAACAACATTTTGTTGCTTCTTTCTCAGCCTGGATTTCCAATCAAGCTTTAAAGTTCTGCAAACAGAGGAATTAGAGCTTTCAGTGATATCAAAGTAATGGGAGGAGACAAAGTCCTCTCCAAACCAAAGATGTCTGAAAAACTGTTGATCACTGATATACAGAGAAACAAGCAGCTGACAATTCAATGTAATCTCCTATTAAATAACAGCTCATTTATACATATCCCATTGTGCCTTCCACATCTGACAAGACATGGGGATTGGCCGATTTATTTCTAGAGCTCAACTCAACTGCCCTGCCTTGCAATGGGACTCCACTACTTGCTTTAAAAACCTGGCGCAATTTACAATGATAAGGGCATACAGGACTTTGCTGTTGTTGATGCTGTTGTTGCTGTTCTCACCTAATTGACATTTCATGCCTTAGCTCTGGGAAGGATTGATACAGGCATTTTGTACTGCTTCCTTTCATTTCAGCCATCATAAATTTAGAATGGGCAAAGTAAACCTTTCTGCAGTGTGCTTGTTTCTACTATGAGCCCTTCTGCTGGGAATGATAAAAGGATCCAGCCTAACCCTGGGCCATTCCTTGTCTGCTAGGTCCCAGGAGCTGCATCTTAGGGAAACTGGATTTATTTATTTGATTGATTGATTGATTGATTGATTGATTTTTGAGAAGCATACCTCACACTGCATTGTTGAAACATGGGGAAGGGGAAGAACAAGTCCAGCACATTCCGCATATTCTTACTCAAAACCTTTTTGCAGCATAGAAGAAAGTTTTTTATGTTTTTCAAAAAAAAATTGCTGGGTTTTCTTGGAGCTAGCTGAGAGAGATGCTAGGCAAGTAGCAGAAATAGGAACTTTGAGTTTGTTTGGCATTTTGAACAGGATTTTTCAAGGATGGAGGGCTTTGCTCAAAAGATGACTAGAACGAGATAGGAGTTAGTCAATCACACAACTGCCAAATTCCACATGCCCTAGCAACCAGAAAGCATTATGTGATATTGCAATCTCAAGCAAAAGAGTTTCCAAAACAGGGGTTGGTGGTGAAAGCATTCAGAACACACTACTTCCTTTGCCCAAAGATACATCTGAAATGCCTTGCTTTCCTATTAAGAACATCCACACATACATATGCAGAGAAATGTTTTTTCACAAACTTGTATTTAATCTAAAAGTAATTGCATTAGCTTCCAGTTAGAGGTATAGTGAATTCTTCTTGGCACGGTACTGAAGTTGTTGAATGACAAATCGATAAAAGTCACACCATTCAGATTTAATCAATTATTGTTTCATCAGCTGGCAGAACCAAAGCCTTGCTCTGAAAAGAGCACCTGCTTTAACATGAAGACTAAGGTACAACCTAGTCTTAGAGTAGGGTCTTCAGTCCATTTATTATTCACCTGCTTTCCACTACAGCCCTGAATATGGCACACATAAGCCAAGATCTCAAGCACCCTAGCAGTGAGCAGAAGGCATCTTTTCCAACACAGCACCTGGTGTTCCTCTATAAATGGTCTGGGCCATTTGTGCAACAAGAAAATCATGGAAAGCCCTTGGAGGACAATTTCAGAGCCATTCCAAATGATAACACTGCATTGTCATTTTTAATGCAACATAAGGGGAAGGTATTCAATATATAAAGGTCACCCAGATAATCAATCAAACTTTAAATCAAGTGTTTGTCTGGGCTCCTCCTACTTTGGAATGTGGCCCCAGAAGGCCAGATGTGGACTTTGGCCTGAAAGAGAGCAATTCCTCCCTGCTCTAGAGGTTTGCCCAGTAGTCAGAAGGAGAGGTAGGAGGTATTGCAGCAAGAAGTATTAAAAGAAAAAAATCCAAGACCATGAACCAAACCTGTTGTGTGATCCTTTGGATAATGCCTATGGTTCTTCCTTCATCTATTTCTTTTTAACAAGCCAGGGAGATAAAGTGGAGTTGTGTGAATGGATCAGGACCACTCAATGTGCTTTATGGTTGACCACCCAGCACTACAGTAGAGGCCCTCCAGGCGTTTTATACTATGACTTCCCAAATCCCTTGTCATTGACTAAAAGAACTCAAACTGGTGTAAGAAGTCCAGAACAAGTTTGCCTATCCTTTCATTGCACTATCAAGGTATTTTCAAATATAGAATTCTAAACACAGTTATTTTCTACCACCACCTTTCTTTTAAACACAATGCATTGGCCTTGGGTTAAGATGGATGGATGGGACCCTTTCAGCTGGAGAGGTATGTGGATAGGCTTTGTTCCCTTGAATGGTGGTTGTTTTACAGAACTTTGTTGTTGTATGGAACTGTTATTCTTTTAATTTTGTGAAGGTACCCAGTCAAAATTTAATAACAACATTTTTAAAAAATATCTTCACTTAGGAACTGACTCAAATTACTGTTCAGAGCAACAAGGGAAAAAAGTAAGATATAAAATCAAAACACTGAAAACATTCAGTGAAACTCCCAATTTAATTTAGGTTTAGTTGATTTTCAAAAAATGGTGAATGCATTCCTGCAGAACTAACCTGTGTGATTCAGAAGAGACCATCACAACTCTTGCAGGAGCTGAGCGGCAAAGAACATCTTTGAGTTGCTGAATGAGATAAAAGTGTCCTAAATAATTCACCTGGAAGGTCCTCTCCAGGCCATCTTCAGTCACTTGCCAAGGAAGACCAAAAACAGCAGCATTGCAGACCAGCACATGGAGAGCTCTACAAACACAAATGTGGAAATTATATATTTAATTAGGGCAGTCTTCAGAAAGCTGGTGCCCTTCAGATGAGTTAAGCCAGAACCACCATTATTTCTAGCTAATCCATCAACTAAAGTGGATTAATTCTTTCTAAACATGGCAAAGGTTATTAAACAGGCTCAGTGCCATTTTGGAAAACCATGCCTCATAATATCTGTCACAGAAATTAATACAATCTGTATTTTTCATTCGCTTATAAAGATGTTGATCTCAAGAAACTATAATGAACATATATTAACAACATTTACATTGTAGCTGCTCAGGATAAAATTCTAGTTCCAAAGTAATGACATCATGGTGACAGATTGATTGGTCAGCATAAGATCATATTTTGAATATTTCAAACTATATTTTTCCACAAGTATGACATTCCCCACCCAAAAAGTAGAATCCTCGTCCCAAAGACTTATTTCCTCTTAGATGTCATGATGTCTAAATCTCACTAAAGCTCAGTCATCTGAGATAAGGACTGTTGGAAGAGTTTCTGTAAGTATGTACTTTTTCAGAAAAAAAAGAAAAAGAAAAGAAAATGTACACTCTTTGTGGACTAAACACACCAGTGTTTAGGTATTGGTCTATCACACATACTTGCATATATGCAGACACGTAAGCATCTCAACATGGGTCAACATCTGCCTTCCCCCACCTATTCCTCATGCTATTCCTCCCCCACAAGTCATTATTCTACATCTGCTCAGCTTGCTCAATTCACACCAGCTTCTTTGAAAGTTATCTTTCTTAGAGCATTTTCCTCCTGCACAAGTTTCTGTCAGGCTTCTACTGCCTCTTTCTATGATTTATATTTCTGCAAACATTTTAATCTCCTCCCCAAGATTTCTAATCATGGGGCCTGGAGGGTGTCATTCTGGCCACATAAGAATTCATACCTAGAGACCTGAGATCACTATTAATTCATATACTTAAGAATTACATAGGGATTTCAAACTTTTGAACCATTTTGCATGTATTATCCAATTGCAATTTTTACAAATCTTTGTAAAACAATGATGCTGATATTGTATCCTGTGAGAGAAGAACGGGGTGAGTGAGAAGGACAAGCTAATATAAGGGCCCCTGATGAATTCAAAGCAGAATTCAGATTTAGATCAGGAACTTCCCAATTTTTAATTTTTTAGCTACTGTTCTGCAACAGTTGTCAGTTTGTTAAAACAATGGACAAAACCCTGAAACTTCAGAATCCCACCAGCCAATTACTAGAGCAAATACTTTGAAGGAAATAGAAAAGCAGAATTCTTCACTCCACAAACACTGTGGTGTTTAAAAGTTTCTAAACCCTCTTGAATGTTCAATATTTCTGCTTAAATATGACCTAAAATGTGATGTGTTCTCCACACAAGTCCTAAAACTAGAGAAAGAGAACTTAATTAAACAAATGAGTCAAAAACATTATCAAAGAATGCATATATGAACAGTATAAAGCCCACTTTTTTATTTCCCGCAAGGGGATATCGAAGGATTCAGGGCCTGTATTTAATAACTAAGGGAGCCAATAAGTCAGACAAAAGCTGCCCTAGGCCTTCTAAAACTTTTAAAAACACATAAAGATTCCTGCTGGATCAAACAAATTATCCAGTTAGTCCAATACTTGTATTCTACAATGGCCAGCTGCCTCCAGGAAGTCCATGAGCAAGACCAAAGTACATTACAAACATAACTAACATTCAGTGGCAGGTACAATTTTAGCTATATTGGCAACTACTTTTGAGAGATCTGTCCCATATTCTTGTTTATAAAATATAGTTAGGTTTCCAGAGAAGAAATTCTTTGTGCGTGAGTATCTCAAGACACATCAGAGGAGAACAGAGAAAATTCAATTAATATTTTATAAATATGAGATAGCTATTTGCTATTACAGCCAAATAAAATCTCCAGGAACCCACTGAATAGGAACTACTGAATAACCTAAAGAATAATGGTTATTATGAAATTTAAAGAGCCCGTGGTCTACTAATCTTCAGTTACCATAATGTCCATTACTTGATCAGCATGCTACTTGCTTTATGCTCTACATTTCTGTTTCCCAACCTTGGCAACTCCCAGATCTGCAGACTTCAAATCCCAGGATTCTCAGCAATGGCCATGCTGGTGATAAAATTCTGGGTACTGAAATGCACACATATGGTAGTTGTCTACAAAGGAAAACATTGGTTGGCATTTTATCAACACTCAAAAGAAGACTGTGACTTAGATTCATAACTTACATGGTTGTACTCCAGAACCCCAGATTCCTTCAGAAGCGATAACAAACATAGCTTCATAAAGAAGCATGCTTAAACTCCAGAATTAAGAGGTTTTCTTCAGCACTGTTCAAAAACGGTAACTAATGTATAATCAAGTACATTAGTCCAAAGATTCATATCACTTTTTTTTTAAGTTATAGCATATAGTGCTTTTAATCAATGTATTTTGTTAAAAATTCCATTATATCGATTGTTATTGCACTTTGTAATATTCTTCATGGTTTTATTATTTTAAATTAAAATTTTAATTAAAATACTGTACACACAGACCCTTTAAAAATTCTCTCATTAGCCATAAAAGCTATAAAACTGCAAAATGCTTACGGCTTTATTTGCAGCAAAAGATACTATAGCTGTACATATTAAATCATAAATATTTTACATGCTTATCTTCCCAACATGCCCCTCATGGCTGGTTCTACCAAAGCATAAGAGCTTTTAACTCAACGAAAACCGAATGTCTCTTGAACTTAGCCTTCAGGTGGGTTGGGATACTTTGGCCATGCTGGCGAGGAGTTCTGGGAAGGGTGCCTGGGAGCATGGTTTCCCTTTTGAGACCCGAACCACAATGCTCCACAACACCAGTGGCAAAATCAGTAGAGTGGGGGATTGGGGGGTTGTTACTTTTTATCTCTGAAGTCCAGAATCTGTGCGTCTTAATTTAAAACACACACATACACACACACACGAATGTGGATTCCGAACAATTCAATTGATCTTTGTGAAACTAGGTCACAAGAAGTCACAGTTCTGTCCCACTGTGGTCTACTGCTGGCATCTACTGGAAGGCTGTCTTTGAAAAACATTCGGCTTCTGTGCAGTTATGATTGTTTAACACTAAACTCGGACAGTGAGTGTCAACAAGACCACAGGCAAATGGGACCATTGGGAATTCAAAGGAAGATAGTGACATGCTCGGGGAAACACTGACATTTGCAGGAGAGAGAGAGAGAGCGAGAGAGAGAGCACTCTCCTCAAAAAAGGCAACTCAAGCACCTATTTGAACTCGCTGCTCAAAACACTGACATATGATGTCCTGTGAAAAGCTCAGAACTATTGCTTCAAAGGTTTCTGCTAAGTAGGCGCATATCTGCATGGAAGACACTTCCCCTGAGACTGCAGTGTGAAGGAGCAGTTCCTCTGTGTGAGCTCAGTCTGCTGCACGTCAACTGGGTTTGGTAGACTTTCTACTATTGTGAAAAAAGCCATAAATCTTTTCCTATCGCAAATGTTATAAGCCGCTATCATGTCTGATCGGGTAATCTAGACAAGTTTGCAGGAAGCACTAATTAAAGCCTGACTAAAGAAGGTGTCCAAATAAGGCCAGGAGAGTTTTTAATTATATCCTTTCTGTTGCTTTTAGTATCGCCCAGTGTTGCTACTGGAGGAAATTGCGCGGCACAAATTTTATTTATAAAATTTATAAAATTTAATAACTCACCCTTTGGTTTAATTAGATGTTCTGGCTCACAATTATAAGATACAATACAAAAACCTATTACAGTGTAGTAACTAAAACAGCAAACAGGCTATTAAAACAAGGAGAAATTGAAATCAGCACCATTCCTACTTCAGGGACTAAGACATTTTTATTTTTTAATCTTTGCATTTGAAAAGTGGGGGGGAGTCTGTCTCACTGTGGCAAAGAGGGTGCATAGTTCTGTTTGCTTTCAATAGGGATTTGTATTTTCTTATATTTTTCAGGTGGAATAGGGATTGCAAGGATTCTAAAATCTTTGAACAAATTGTAATAAATTTTAATTCAGAATACTTCTGGAAAAAAAAAATCCTGGCACCCAAATGTTGTTTTTGCACACGTTCATTGTGCAAAAGTTAATTCCCACTATACAACACACACACACACACAAAATAACCATTAACCTTTCTTCTAATATTCCTCATTCTCATTATATCTGAACCATGCTGCATCAAACCTTTGTTCCATAATCACCCAAATTTAAACTATATCTTTCAAAGCTTTTTTGCACTATCGATTCAAACATAAATCCTATGATGAACTGTATGCGTGAAATACACAAATATCTGTTGGGTTCTCCTGGGTGCAAAACGTGTGTCTTTTAAAACAGATTGCTGCATTACGTGAGCAAAATCCTTCTGTTCTAATGGTCATAATGATCACACCATTTTATACATATTCATATTTCGAGCTTCTCTCCTACTAGTGGGGAGAGACTGCTCAAACTAAGACACAACATTACTACTTCACAGCTCTA